TACATAAGTAATTTCAAACGAAGTACCGTGCCAAGGAAAATTGTGAAAATAGTATCCATTTTCCAAAATACTAGCACTATCTTTATGTCTATGCAGACCTAAAGCAGACTAGAGGCAAAGTACTATTTTCCTTATGGGTGTACTCCTTTTGAAAATGATATCTCCAAATTTATTATTTTAGAAATTCTTCCATAATACATATTAAGCTTTCTTGTGGATGTTGGAAATATTGAAAGATACCGTTAGTTTCTTGTTTATTTTAACTTATTAATATCTTCATCTTTCCAAGATGTCTTTACCGTTGTATTATTGTAATCTGTTTCTATATATTCGAAGTGTAAACAATTGAATATACGTTCTTGTGAATGTTGGAAGTATGAAAAGATTATCTTTAGTTCTTTAGTCATTTTTTCTAGTACCATGTCTTATTAAATATACTTCAATCTACCACATATCTTGCTGTAAAAAAATGAAAATACTCAATCTTGAGGAATTCTACAGAAAAACAGAGAGATGTAAGTGGAACTTGGACACTAGCAAATCAAGCGAGATGAGCTAAGATCTCGAACTCTCTCTTAGTTCTTTCTTTCCCTGATGGGTTCATGTTCATCATGAACAACTCAAACTGAAACAAGCTTTTGTCTACTACTAGAAAATCCGGGATTACATATCAATCACAATCACCTTGCCGTTTGACGGTAGCGATCAGTATAACATATATTAAATTATGTACGCGGTTAGATACGTTGTTAATTTTTTTTTATTTATACTGAGGAAAATAGTGATTTTAATTTGGTCAACTCAATAAACATGTCTATCATATATTAGTATATCCATAGACTTGTTTGTCGAAATTGTTATTTTGACTCTTGAATTACTGGTATGAATCTGAATTAGTCCAACTTCGTATTCTCTACTCGCGGGGAACAAGTGGAAGTGCAGAAAAGACGATAACCAATAAAAGAAAAATTTTTACGAAAGGAGAAATTGTATATAGATCCTCATACGATGTTCTGGTATTGTGACTATTGTCTAAGATTTTTAAAAATTTTAGGAAGCTGTACTTGCAATTGGAAGCATATATATATATTCTATTATTATTTTAATGATATATATATGTATATTTTTCTATTATTATTTTATAACGATGTATTAAAAAAATATTTATGTCATGTGATTTATAATTGTGTCATGCTGAGGTATCAAGTTCAGAGAGCTTCTCAGAATTATATTAAAGTGGTCTCTAATTAGTAAAATAATTACAATTCTGTCATTTTAGATTATAACAACTATTTACTTTATCTTATCTTATATTTTAAGATTTTATCTTATACTACTATGTTTATATATTTACATAATTCACCAAAATTTAATATATATGCATAATATAAAATATAATGATATTAGAACTATATTTTGAAGCATGTTATTATTGTCATATATGCATTTTTAATTTAATTATATAATGATATTACAACTATTTATTAATATATTATGTATGTATTTTAATAATGTAATTTATATGTGTTAAAAAATCACAAGAATATTTGACAAAAAAATTAAAGCTAATTAATCATAATTATCATATAATTTATACTTATATTTAATTATTTTTTAAATATAATTTTTTTCTAAAACAAATCTATTAAAAAAGATAAATTTCACTCTGTGTAGGGCGTGGATTACTACCTAATATATAATTAAACATTATTCTATGTTATAAAAAAATGTTGTGAATAACACAAAGTGAGTTCAACAATTAATTTAAAATAAGAAAAATCAAATGATCCAAAAGTAAAAATCTAAATCAACATCTTCATTCTAAGCTTTCTCAACTCCATCAATTGTACCCGTTTTAATCTCTTTTTTGTCGAGAGATCATCAAACTCAATTCTTCAAAAATAATCTCATTCAAAGTCAATCACTCCAACATTTTACGGGAAAAAGGCCGATTAGTACCTCAACACCATCATCTGGTATCAATAAATACCCAAACAATTTTGATAGGTTATCAGTACCTGAATTTATTAAAATCGGTAAATACATACCTCAACAATATTTTTGTGGCCAATAAATACATTGACTTTCTGTCTGTTAGTCAAACATGTTAACTTGCAAACGGAATCCGACTTGGATACCACCGTGGATGCTCTATTCGAATGAAACCAATACGACGCCGTTTAAGGTTAAAAATCTGGAAAAAGGCAAAAACGACGTCATTTTAAATTTATTATCCTTTAAAAAAAATACACCATCTATATCTTCTTTCGTGGGAGAAAAACATCAATAGATAGGATTTGGGTGGTGTTCAAAATCAAATCGGAATGACTTCATCGTCGAATGCTAATACTTCTTCGGAGATTCATGTAGGTTTAGGTTTACAATTTTGGTTTTGATTTTGATTCAAACACTTTCGAAAAATCAAATCGAAAATTTCAATTTTAATTTTTTTAATGTATAATAAATTTAAAACAACGTTGTTTTTGCCTTTTTTCCTCTGGTTTTTAACTTTAAATGACGTCGTATTGGTTTCATTCGAACACAGTATCCACCGTGGCATCTGAGTCGGATTCCGTTTGCAAATTAACAGGTTTGACTAACAGAGAGAAAGTCAATGTACTAATTGGCCAAAAAACATTATTGAGGTATGTATTTACCGATTTTAATAAGTTCAGATACTAATTAACCTATCAAAATTGTTTGAGTATTTATTGGTACCAGATAATGGTGTTGAGGTACTAATCGACCTTTTTCCCAACATTTTACATATGCTTAAAACAATCTTTTGCTTCTGATTTATGGGTTGTTCGAGCCAAGAACAAATATTCATAGTTTATGTTACCTCTATGTATCTTATATATGATTTTATTTTAATCTCAACTCAATAATATAGTATATTCTATGATATTTGTCAAAGGTGAATATAATATTTATAAAAGTGGGTTCACATCACATGTATGTATATGTATTAAACGCTAATAAAAGACAAAGTCATTTAGTTCACAAATTTATACTTTCAAGTCTTATTTTTATATTGAGAAGAGTAAAGAAGAAGGAATATTGAAATCTACACGCTTATTCTCTCCTATATATATGCACAAACTTACATTTCGAAAATCATATTTTTAAATGAACGGAAAAATGTATAACGTCATGCTATTCTTGCTTACTTTAATTTTTCTATTATTGTTCTCTGGATTATCAAACACAGCAATGGCCCGAGTACAATACGAATCTTTAAAACCAAGTACGTTTTTTATTCCGATAAATTTAGAGTACCCAATCCGATTTTGGTTTGATTGTAGTTCAAATCTTCTGGCTTACAAAATGAAAACCCGTTACCGTTTGATAAAGTATAAATTTCGATTACATGTTTTAAACCTTCATATTAAATAATAAATGGTTTTGAATATTCTTTCTTTTGATAAATTTTTGCTTTAGTTTTACCATACGTTTTTTTTTATAAAAAAATTGGATTGGTTAAACTGGATTATCCTATAAAAATACAAAAAAATACTTAAATTATTCAAAATAAATGTTACTTAAATTATTCAAAATAAATGTTGTTTTCTTTTTTGGGAAATGAATAGGAAAAGAGGTTTGGGATGAAAAGGTGATCAGAGAGATCAAGATTAATGTTGATGGTAGGTGTTCACGTCAAGGAGGACAACGAGGCGGCCCTCCAAAACGATGTCCTAAAGCCTAATCTATATATATGAGATATTCATCATATATGTAATAATCTTTTCACCTATGTAAATTTCTTCGTGAAAGTAGAATATAACTGGAACGTTTTCCTTAGATTTAGTATTGTGCATATTTTTCCTAGAATCTAGTCTATTTTATGTTATGAATCTTTTCCAAGATGGTTCATAGGTATGGAGTCTCAGCCTAGGCCACGGTGTTTATGTGTTAATAACATTGGGTGATCCGGTCAGCATCGAAACCGGAACGACAAAGATTAGTTACCTCGTCTTGTCCAGAACAACCTAAGCCTTGCGACTGATCTCAAAGTGAGCCAGTCCAACATAGAAAGTGTATCCATGGAATCTTTGAACATAATTATCGGGTAAGAAATTAGGATCAACATGTCACCCGTAATCGGAATATCGGACAAGGTAAAATATGTACGTCTTAATATGGTTTGAAAACTTATTTTTGAGATCATGGAATAAATATAATCAACTCAAACAAATGTAAATTTATGGAAAATATAATTGAACGATTTGAATTTTCTGGATGGAGAGGTCACTAAGATTCCCTCCAAACATGTTTCAAGATTTTAAATTTTCACTTGATAGCAAAATTATGTTCATCACATAATTTTTGCTTGGCTCAATAGAAAAGGTCTAAAATAGCTTACAAAAAATTGCACTTCAAACTTATAAATTTTCTAAATCTTACAAAAGTTTATGAAAAATTAGATTAGATTCCACGTGTGATATGCCGATACATCATACAAGATAAGCTAATTAGACTCTAAATTGATAACCCACGTACATAAGTCATCATTGTCTCTTTTGCTTTTTGGAACATGATTGACTTGATCAAATCTAATATTTTAGGCAAGTTAATTAAGATGGAAGCACTATATAAAAGAGATTGGGCTAAAACCGTTGAGAAATATTGTTTGTCTTGCCATGTTTGGATCAAGCCCGAGGCAGACACAGGCACAATGCTTAACAAAGTTATCGAGTATATTAAGAGAGTTTAAAATTAAAATACAAGTTCATATCAGGCAATTTAGTACATATCTTGCTGTAAAAAAATGAAAATACTAGACATATCAGGCAATCTTGAGGAATTCTAGAACCGAGAAACAAAGAGATGTAAGTGTGTACACTAGAAAATCCAGCAAGAAGGGCTAAGATCTTGAATTCTCTCTTTGTTCTTTCTTTCCCTGATGGGTTCATGTTCATTATGAACAACTCAAATTGAAACACGCTTCTGTCTAAAGAGTGTATCTCCCGTAAAATCCGGGATTACCATATCGATCACAATCACCTTGCCGTTTGATGGTAATGATTGATAACATGGCGTCGAGAGCTCGAGAAGGTGAGTGTTTGGTTTTCTTCTCTGAGGTTGAAAACGATGCCCAATCCACACGACTGAGATGTAGCGTCCCAAGCTGCATCAACGCTGCAGCTGATATTAGCGAGAACGATGGTGGGTGGCTCTCCAGAGGGGGTACACTTCGATAGGTGTGTAGTTTCCTGAGCTGTTTGCCAAATGCGCGCATCCGAGATCGCTTTCGTGAGGACTTCTTGCTCGGAGAAGACCGTATCGGAAAAAATCCGTCGGTTACGAGCTGTCCAGAGATTCCAACAGATCCAAGATGGGAGTGAAGCCGCAGGAAGTCCTGATGGTGGGAGGCTAGTCAGAGTAGGTATTCTGGCCAAGAACTCAAGGACATGGACAGTGGCGAGATGGTGTTGTTCACGTAGCGGCGCTAATTCCCAAACGCCCCGAGCGAACTGACAGTCTCGAATAACATGTGTAACTGTCTCTGGCGCTCCACAGATCTTACAGGCGAAATCGATTTGAATTCCACGATTAACGAGTTGGACACCAACCGGGAGGGCTTCAGCGGCAGCTTTCCACAAGAAGTGTTTAATCTTAGGTGCGGTGCGAAGACGCCATATGTTCTTTTGCCAGTTGAAAGTTCTTTGGAGGTCGGGAATATGGTCCGAAGAGGTGATACCATAGCCCGAACGGACATCATATTTGCCATTCTTCGAGGGTAACCAAACCAATCTGTCTGGCGGAAGAGAGGCGCTGAGTGGGAGGAGTCGGATCAGATGCTCGCAATCAGGGATGACTTCCTGGATTCGCCTCCAGCTCCAGGTGTTCCCAACTTGGTCCATAAGATCTGATACGAGTAGGTCTTTAGTTTCCAGCGTAGGTGGACCAATTGGGCGAAGGGGCAGAGTTACGCTAAGCCATGGGTCCTCCCAAACTCGTATCGATTCTCCATTGCCCACTAGCCATCCCATGCCATGCCGAAGAATTTCTCTGCCAGCAATAATACTCCTCCTACCATGAGACGGGTTAGAAGGGAGAACACAGTCCATAAAGGGTGCAGAGTGGCAGTATTTTCCCAGCAACACTCTCGATACCAAAGCATGGGGATGATAAATAAGGCGTGCTCCAATCTTAGCCAGCAGAGCATCATTAAAGCGTTCGATGTCTCGAAAGCCTAGTCCGCCCGCATTCAAGGGAGTCGTAAGTCTATTCCAAGAAACCCAGCTCATTTTCCTCTGGTCCGGTTTGTCGTCCCACCAGAATCTTGTAAGAACCGATTGGATTTGTTTGCAGAGAGACTTAGGGAGTTTAAAACAAGACATTGCATATGAGGGCATCGACGCGAGTACCGATTTAAGCAGCACTTGTTTCCCAGCAGCCGAGAGGAAACGAGTCGCCCAGCTGTGTGAGCGTTGTCGAATACGGTCCACTTGGCTCGCGAAGATGTCCCTCTTCTTCCGTCCAAAGTCCTCCGGTAGTCCTAAATATTTTCCTGCTCCTCCTTCATTGTGAATGTGGAGGATACGTTTCGCTACTGCTCTCTGGTTGCGGTGGGTCTTGGCCGAGAACGTGATGGAGGATTTGGCAAGATTTATGCTTTGTCCTGAGGCATCTCCATAGCGTCTTAGAATAGATGAGAGCACTGCACATGAGGTGGGATCAGATTTGCAGAAGAACATGGTATCATCTGCATATAGGAGATGGTTAACTTGGGGGCTATTGCGGGACACCCGAATGCCAACCAGCGAACCATTATCCTGGGCTTTCCGGCAGAGGCCTGCTAGCACCTCCGTGCAGAGAATGAAGAGGTAAGGGGAGAGAGGGTCGCCTTGTCTAAGTCCTCTGGATGGCAGAACTCGTCCCTGCGGACCTCCATTGATGAGGAAAGAGTAGGATACCGTCATCACACACTCCATTATCCATTTGATCCATTTATGGTGAAAGCCCAGACAGTCCAGAACGGCTCTAAGAACACCCCACTCTATCCTGTCGTATGCTTTGCTCATATCCGTTTTAACAGCCATGAAACACCTCTTCTTTGCCTCCGAGGTTCGGAGATAGTGAAGGGTTTCATGAGTTATTAAGACATTATCGGATATCGCTCTATTTGGAACAAAGGCAGATTGAGTCTCAGAGATGAGATGTGGGAGGATTGTTTGAAGCCGTTTCGTAAGGATCTTGGCAACGATCTTGTAGTATACGTTGCAGAGAGCTATGGGCCGATAATCAGCGACTCTCCTGGGGCCCAATATCTTTGGGATTAGACGAATATGCGTCTCATTTTGTCGAGTCGGGAAGGATCCAGACAGAAAAAACTCTTGGATTTCTTTAACAAGATCTGGGCCAATGATGGGCCAGTATGTGTGAAAGAAACCAGCGGAGAATCCGTCTGGCCCCGGGGCCTTGCTAGGATGAATGGATTTGACTGCTGAGTGGATTTCAGCGGGGTCAGGGATCCTAATAAGTCTGGCATTAGTCTCCTCGTCGATTTGTGGCTCCAAGACATCATGTACTAGATCGAAGCCGGAGTTATTCTGCGAGGAGAATATCTCCTGGAAGTACTCCGAGATAATACGAGCAAAGTCCTGCTCCTCGTGGAAGGCTGTACCCGAACTGTCCTCCAGAACCGTGAATCTATTGCACGTCCTCCGGTTACATGTAACAGCATGAAAGTAACCGGTATTGCGGTCGCCACTCTGCAGCCATAAGATACGACTCCTTTGTTTCCAAAAATGCTCCTCAGCCTTATATGCTTTCTCCAGGGTAGCAGTGCAGTGGCCAATCACCTCTGGGTCGGGTGAATCAGCAGAGAGCGCCCTTTCGAGTTCCGTCTGAGTGTCCGAAATGAGTTTCGCGCTATTCATATTCTGCTCTTTGACCCATCTGATTATCTCGCGGCGACAATCCGTAATCTTGGCTACCACAGTATCATGATCTGAATTGTTCCAAACTTGGCCAATCAGTGTCATGATTTCTTCTTTCTCGCGAAGTCTATTGTCGAAACGAAAGATTCCTTTTAGCTTTACTCGGGAGTCATCGAGGAAAGTAACTAGGGGGCGATGGTCGGACCCTTCGTAACGCAGGTACTCCGATCTCCCTGAAGGGAAGGCTTCCAGCCACTCGTCATTGCAGACTGAACGGTCCAACCTTGCTCGAACAAAATGGTCATAGCGCATACCCCGCCAGGACAAGGGATTACCGGAGAAGTTAAAATCCCATAGTCCGTTTTGGGATATGAAGCTACGGAAATTAATGAAAGAGCCTTCGTGTCTCCTGGGACCTCCGCGCTTCTCTGAATTATCCAAGATCTCGTTAAAATCACCCGAGAGAAGCCATGCCGAATCTCTGTTAGCGCCCAGTTCCGATATTTGGTTCCAAACCTCTTGTCGTCTTTGGCATACCGGGTGACCATAGACGAAGGTAAGAAAGAATGATTTCGCCTTGAACTTTATTTTGGTGTCTATGAAGTTCGGGGAAGAAGATAGAATCTCCAGATGTGTATCTTTCTTCCAAAAGAGAGCTAGACCACCACTAAGTCCAATCGGAGGAACCGTAAACCTGTTATCGTAACCCATCCACTGAAATACGCTGAAAACAACATCATCTTGGTTTTTTGTCTCAGCGAGAAACATAATGTCCGGGAAGAGACTCCGTCGAACTGTCAAGTAGTTTCCAATCCCCTGACAGTTCCAACAGGTTGTAATCATTGAGAGTTTGATGGTTTTTGGGCAACCATCAAGCCCTTACAAGCAGAAGGCACTAAGACCTTAGAGATAGAAGCTACAAGTTCGCCATTAGAGGCATTAACGTTAGAGATAGAAGCAGATACTGACGCGACCTTGGACATCTTCGAGGGAGGATGTGATTTGGACTCCACGCTGAGCCTCTTCCTTGGAGAGATTTTCTTCGAGACGGTGCGACGTTTAGAACGTACGCTTTGACTTGGGCTGCTCGGCATAAGCTTCTTGGACGCTGCACGCACTGCGAGTTTTGGACTCGGTTTTGTCGCAGCTTTCGTCACACGTCGTTTGGGGGTAGCTTTCTTTGGGATTTCCAGCCGTTGCTTTACCGGTATTGTGCGCGGACCTAATCTGAACGCTACAGGAATCTTCTCTCCATTCAGAGGAGGAAGATCTGGTATGGTAGCTTCAGATGAATCCTCGGAGGAATCCTGGTGTCGCTGGAACTTGTTCTTGGATTGGGACGCAACCACAGGATGGAGGTATGACTCATCGACACGTTCCGGAGGATCCAAGAGGTCGTCGTTTTCCACCCACTCAGGATCACCCTCTGTAGGAATCAAGCCAGCAACAGAAGGAAGAGATCCCTCCTGAATATCTCTCGGGGCTTCTAGTCTGTCTAGAGCTGATCGTCGAAGCCCGTGAGAGGAGGATTTGAGGTGATCCTGGCTTTTAGAGGCGGACGTGGTGTGCCGAATGGACGAGTGGTGTTTGTTTGTAGGCTGGTCAGAGAGGATCCTGCGACGAGAAGCTGGAGGTTCTCGAAGAGGGGAGCGACTCCGTTGCAGATCCGCTTGCGAAGCTGTCCTTCCACGGGGTGAGCTCTGCTCGACTCTGTCCCCATTGCGAGAGAGATTCCTGTTGGTCGTATTAGTAGCATGTGGGGATTCACGCCGATCGCTCGTATCACTCTGGTCATATCGATGAGAACCAGAGGACTTGTAGCGACGGGGAACCTCACGGCGAGGTGTGGAATCTCCACGGTGGGAGGTGAATCTGCGGCCATCAACAGATAGGTTAGTATTGGAGTTCGGAGGAGCATAATACCTGTCATTGGGTCGCTGCAATGGTGAGCGCGGTAGTCGTCGAGCAGGAGCTCGGCGAGGAGGTGAACGAGAATGTCTCCAGGGAGGTGATCGTCGAGGAGGTGAGCGAGAGGGTCTGCGGGGTGGTGAGTGAGATTGGCGCCGGGGAGGGTTTGGAGACCGCCGGCTCTGAAAACGATGGCGAGAATCTCGATCAGGAGCATAACTTCCTTCAGCGCTGGGGTTAAGATAGGGAGGCATGGTCTGTCGAGGTGGAGCCTGTTTGGAGTTCTCCTGTCGTGATGGGTAAGTCCTGTTCCTCCTCTCTTCTTTCTTGTGGCGATCATCCTCCAGTCGCTGCAGCGTGTGTTGGTTGTTGATATGGGAGTTTGGAGGTTCAGGATCATGAGAATTGGAGCGCTGGGGGCAGTTTTCTTTCTCATGTCCCAATGACATACAGAGAAAGCAATGTTTCTCCAGCCTGATGTATTCGAAGACCACCGAAACCTCCACACCCGATGGGAATTGGATAGCTTTCTTCTTGATTAGCGGTTTCAGAGCATCAATTTGAACTCTCACCATCGCTTCTTCTATATCGTGAGCCATATATTTTCCCAGAGCATTACCTATCGCTTTAAGATTATTCTCCGTACAGCAATGAGAAGGGATATCATGAACTCTGATCCAAAAGGGAATCAGAGAGGGGAAAGCGTCAGAGATAACTGGCTCCCAACGTTGGAGGACGAACATCCAGCGTTTGAAGTGAAACGGCGCTTCGTTGAGGACAGCTTGTAGATCTTCCTCGGAGTTGAATTTGAATTGAAATTTTTCTGTACCGAGATCCCTTCCCACAAGCTTCTCCTCCATACGCCATATTTGGGGCATGAAGCCGATCAGAGCTTTTGGTTTTTGAACGCTTGGGTTAAGGACTCTTCCGATCAAGGTGAGGCGATTTGCTTCGATCAGATCCGGGTTGGCTTCATCATGGAGGCGAATCGGAGGATCACGAATCCATCGGTGCGACGAGGCGATATCCTTGCCCTTTTCCTCGCGAGAGAAGCGTCGAAGCATCGAGGCGTGCGGTGCAAGGAAGCGGTGGGGAGAATGAAGAAGACGACGAACGAACGGAATAGAACACAGGCGACTAAAATAACTGCAAAATACAGTAAAGGGGACGCTATAACAGCGTATGGAGAGCGAGAGGGGCCCGCAGATCAGTGAGAGATGGCGGCGGAGCAAGAGGACGGCGAGATCTGAGTTTCTCGAGGAAAAGTATGGAGTCGCCTTTCCAGGAACCCTAAAACGCCGCCCATTGGTATTTTTTCTATTTTTCGGTAGTTACTATTCTCTCCTATATATATATGCACAAACTTACATTTCGAAAATCATATTTTTAAATGAACGGAAAAATGTATAACGTCATGCTATTCTTGCTTACTTTAATTTTTCTATTATTGTTCTCTGGATTATCAAACACAGCAATGGCCCGAGTACAATACGAATCTTTAAAACCAAGTACGTTTTTTATTCCGATAAATTTAGAGTACCCAATCCGATTTTGGTTTGATTGTAGTTCAAATCTTCTGGCTTACAAAATGAAAACCCGTTACCGTTTGATAAAGTATAAATTTCGATTACATGTTTTAAACCTTCATATTAAATAATAAATGGTTTTGAATATTCTTTCTTTTGATAAATTTTTGCTTTAGTTTTACCATACGTTTTTTTTTATAAAAAAATTGGATTGGTTAAACTGGATTATCCTATAAAAATACAAAAAAATACTTAAATTATTCAAAATAAATGTTACTTAAATTATTCAAAATAAATGTTGTTTTCTTTTTTGGGAAATGAATAGGAAAAGAGGTTTGGGATGAAAAGGTGATCAGAGAGATCAAGATTAATGTTGATGGTAGGTGTTCACGTCAAGGAGGACAACGAGGCGGCCCTCCAAAACGATGTCCTAAAGCCTAATCTATATATATGAGATATTCATCATATATGTAATAATCTTTTCACCTATGTAAATTTCTTCGTGAAAGTAGAATATAACTGGAACGTTTTCCTTAGATTTAGTATTGTGCATATTTTTCCTAGAATCTAGTCTATTTTATGTTATGAATCTTTTCCAAGATGGTTCATAGGTATGGAGTCTCAGCCTAGGCCACGGTGTTTATGTGTTAATAACATTGGGTGATCCGGTCAGCATCGAAACCGGAACGACAAAGATTAGTTACCTCGTCTTGTCCAGAACAACCTAAGCCTTGCGACTGATCTCAAAGTGAGCCAGTCCAACATAGAAAGTGTATCCATGGAATCTTTGAACATAATTATCGGGTAAGATATTAGGATCAACATGTCACCCGTAATCGGAATATCGGACAAGGTAAAATATGTACGTCTTAATATGGTTTGAAAACTTATTTTTGAGATCATGGAATAAATATAATCAACTCAAACAAATGTAAATTTATGGAAAATATAATTGAACGATTTGAATTTTCTGGATGGAGAGGTCACTAAGATTCCCTCCAAACATGTTTCAAGATTTTAAATTTTCACTTGATAGCAAAATTATGTTCATCACATAATTTTTGCTTGGCTCAATAGAAAAGGTCTAAAATAGCTTACAAAAAATTGCACTTCAAACTTATAAATTTTCTAAATCTTACAAAAGTTTATGAAAAATTAGATTAGATTCCACGTGTGATATGCCGATACATCATACAAGATAAGCTAATTAGACTCTAAATTGATAACCCACGTACATAAGTCATCATTGTCTCTTTTGCTTTTTGGAACATGATTGACTTGATCAAATCTAATATTTTAGGCAAGTTAATTAAGATGGAAGCACTATATAAAAGAGATTGGGCTAAAACCGTTGAGAAATATTGTTTGTCTTGCCATGTTTGGATCAAGCCCGAGGCAGACACAGGCACAATGCTTAACAAAGTTATCGAGTATATTAAGAGAGTTTAAAATTAAAATACAGGTTCATATCAGGCAATTTAGTACATATCTTGCTGTAAAAAAATGAAAATACTAGACATATCAGGCAATCTTGAGGAATTCTAGAACCGAGAAACAAAGAGATGTAAGTGTGTACACTAGAAAATCCAGCAAGGCGGGCTAAGATCTTGAATTCTCTCTTTGTTCTTTCTTTCCCTGATGGGTTCATGTTCATTATGAACAACTCAAATTGAAACACGCTTCTGTCTAAAGAGTGTATCTCCCGGAAAATCCGGGATTACCATATCGATCACAATCACCTTGCCGTTTGATGGTAATGATTGATAACAGTTGCTAAGTGTCTTCACGCAATGTTCATTGTCCCAGCCGTGGAGAATCCACTGTTGTAAATGTAACAAAACGAACAAGAAAACCCCTAATATTAGCTTTTAAGTATTTTTGTTAAGTCTTAAGGAAACTTTAAGAAAAAATTAACCTTCATCAAAATGTTTTCTCCTTTAGGAATGCTTGTAAACATGTCTCCAGCAACATCCTCAATGTCTACAACACGAAAAATTATGACATTTCAAATCATTCATAATACAACAGAATCTTGGCAAGAACTTCTGCTATACCTGGAGAAGCTGATGAAGTGTTGACAACAGAAGTCAAATTAAAGTTAATAGCTTTGATGATTAGGATGCATGGAGATTATTTTAGGAGAATAGGTCCATCTCCACCACCAACATCAACTAATGACTTCTCACCATCAAAATCCTTGTACTTATTCACAACTTCTTCCATGAAAACATCATTAAATCCCCTCATCGAGCTTTGGAACACTTCTCTGAATCTCTTGAATCTCTGCCCACCAATTCGACCGCGCTCGAGCCATGAGTCTTGTTGAATGGAAGCCCTCCTTCGAGAACTGAATCTTTAAGGTTGTACCTTTTTCACGTTATAAACAAAATCATAAATCAAGATTCAAGACCATCACGTTTCAGACAAAAGAGTTTTGGAAGTTGGTAATGAATTTACCAGATATCCATCACGATCTTATCCTGAAAAAATTCACCAACGGAGCCAACGAGCCAGATTCATCTTGGTTCTTGATGAAGTACTTGGCAACAGGAGCTAAGCCACAGCAAATCTTAGAGTACGACGGTACGTGGTAATTACGTCGTTAGTTTTTTATTTCTACTATAGAAAAATTAATTTTGAATTGAAATATTAAACGCGTTTATTAGTATATTTATATACTTGTTTGTACAAGATGTTATTTTGACTCTTGAATTATATGAATCTGAATTAGTCCAACTTCGCATTTCTCTTTTCGTGTGGAACACGTGGAACTACAAAAAGACGAAGACCAAACAAAGACTTCTAATCCAATTTTCCACTCAAAATTTATATTTATATGTAAACTAATAAAATATTTATAAAATCATTTATTCTGAACTCTGATAGATGTTTTTTCGTTTATTCTATCTCAAATTATTCTTAAACGACGACAACTGTAAGTTTTCAAGCTGATTTGATTTTCTTCTTAGCGTGACCATATATGACTATATGAGTTGTTGAATTCAATGCATTAGAGAGATATCTAAAGGGAACTAGAAAATAAAAGAGAATAACAAAGAATAAAAAATTTAAGAAATATATTTTCGTGTGTCAAATAAAGAGTAAAAAAATTAAGAAATTTATTTGTAGCTGCTATTTTGTTCTGAATGTATGTGTTCTTGTGGTGTTTCCTTTTCATTTGTACGTGACTGCATGTGATGAATGCTTGTCTCTTGTTTTGAGCTTGACATTGTTCGATTTTAAACATATGCATTCACATCATAATATCACATGTAAACCGATTTAGCTTATTTTGTGACGGCGACATTTTGGGATTCTCATTTATGTAATGAATGATCAAGGCGCATATAATTCATATGTATCTATTATAATTCATAATTTTCCGGTTCCCAGGATCACTAATATCCTCACATGTTTGATACTCTTCGTCGTTAACATCTTTGGATTTCTCTTCTTCATTCTTATTCTTATTCTCATTCTCAATTTCAGTCTCAATCACATCTTCATTCTCAGCCTCAATCACATCTTCATTCCCAGTTTCAATCAGATCTTCATTTTCATGAATCTCATCTTCATTCTCACCCCTGACTCTCTTTCTCCTTCTCTTTCTCTTTTTCGTACTTATTTTCATTCTTATCTTTACTTAAAAGTTGGACAAATTTTAAGATAGAGTTAGCTTGAGATTTGTCCTACGCATGTACTATTCTCTTTCTCCTTCTTTTTGATGCACCGGTTTCTTCCTTTTTTAAGGATACAACTCACTTGAATAATTAATTACTTTTTTAGTACTAAGTAATTAATTACTTTTTTCAAATAAAACTCTTCTTAATATAGCTTAATCCACAATTTATATTTTAATATAGCTTAATCCACAAATAATAAATTGTGAAAACACACAGTTACACTAAGATATTTAGTTATTACTTTTAAATTATTTAATTATTATTTTTAGATGAAGAGTCTTATTTATAGTGCAGCTTCCCCTTTAAAAAATTTGAAGTAGTCAATGTGGGACACTTCTAAATGGGCTTAAAATTTTTTTTTTTTAACAATGGGCCGATTTTTTAAAAAAAAACTATAAATGGCAATCATGTGGAGAGGTGGAATCGAACTCCACATCCGCGCGGAAAGCTATAACACTCTCCCCTTCTCACAAACTGACTGAGCTAACATATGTTTTAGAAAATTAGCCCCTAAAAAATATTTAACTCTTTGGCCCTGAAGCAGATGCTTGGCTCTGATTATATATATATATATATATATATATATATATATTGAGAAGAATAGGACAACGTAATTTGGGATCTTAATTAAGAATTTGTCCATTCGTATTTTAAAGCGAACTTATTCAACATTCTTGGATTTTTTTATTTAGTGACAGAAGCTTCTGCTGTTTACATTAATATTTTTTTTAATTGAATATAAAATTTATTCAACCAAAAAATCATTTACGTTAATTTTACCTTAACTTATAACATGGACTTTGTTCTCCAAAGTTTCCAAAGTAATTAAAATTAAGTTGGACCAATTCAGAGAAGACTGGGATTTCATTTACAGAAGAAGATTGAATTTGAACAAGAAAAGGAAGGAATATTGTAATTTCAGTCTTATTCTCTCTATATATGCATGCACAATCTTATATTTAGAAATTCATATTTTCAAATCAACAAAAAAATGTATAACGGCCTGCTATGCTTGCTAACTTTAAGTTTTCTATTGTTCTCTGGATTATCAAACACAGCAATGGCCCGAGTACAATACGAATCTCCAAAGCCAAGTAGGTTTTTTTTATTCCGAACAATTTTAGAAATCCAATCCGATTTTGGTTCGGTTGGTACGGTTGTATAAATTGATCATCATTCATTTTGGTTATTGTTTGATACATTGTTTAAATTGTATTCCATGTTTAGCAAATTATACCACCAAAATAAATCATATTTATGGAAACTAAAAAAAATCTATACAGTAAAACATCTATAAATTAATAATATTAGTACCATAATATTTTATTAATTTATCTATAAATTAATAATTATTAATTTATAAATAAAATTTGCTTTTCACATATAATTTTCTAAAAATTTCTTTAGAATAATGTTATATTTCAAAATTTTAACAAATCTCATAATATAAATCATGACTAAAAATTATAACTATTACAATAAAATAGTTTTTAATACCATATTGGATTGTCTATGTAAAAATATATATGTTCATAAGTTTAAAATTTATAAAAAACCATGGTTACTATCAGTATTATTGATGATAAAATTGAAGATAATACTACAATACATTTAAAAACATTTACATGTAAAAAAAATCAATTGTCACATCAAAAAATCATCATAAATTTTGAATGTATATAGTAAAATAGTGATAAGAGCTACTGATATAATAATTAGAGAGTTTAGAATCAATGAGATTTTAACTTTAAGTAAAAACAAACACATTAGTCATATTTTAGAATATTATATTTATATATATTTACATAAATTTTTATAATTATTAATTTATGTTTTTATTGGGACCACATATTTACATAAGAGTTTCAAAAAAAAATTATTATCTTATTATTTATTGAATTTGATGAATTTTTACATTGACCCGATTTGGAACCATCAAAATTTATTAATTTATAGTAATTATTAATTTATCGAGTATTAATTTATAGAAGTTTTACTATATATATATGGAAATTTTAAACGGAATGATTATTTTTTTCTTCATTTTGATTTTTGTACTACGTTTTACAATACGGTTTTTGTTTGATTTGGATTGGTACAACTGGATTATATTAAAAATGATTACTAAAAACATTCAAAATAAAAATTATTTTCTATTTTGGGAAATTAATAAATAGGAGAATGGGTTTGGGATCAAAAGGTGATCAGAGAGATCAAGATTGAAGTTGGTGGTAGTTGTTCACCTCAAGGAAAAAAAGGACGCTCACCAAAGAAACAAGGCTCACGAGAACGATGTCCTAAACCCTAGCGAATTATATATATATATATATATATATATATATATATATATATATATATATTGTGTGCATAATATATAATATGAGATTAATCAGATATGTAATAATATTTTTACCTATGTAAACTTCTTCGTGAAACTTTAATAGGACCTTAGTATTGTGCAGTTTTAATTAAGTTTTAGAAAGTCCTAGAATCTAAATTATATTATGTTATCAATCTTTTCCCAAGGGGGATCCTAGGTGTGGAGTCTCAACTCCCAACCTAAGCTAAAACGTTGTTTTCTTTATATAACCTTGAACGACAAGGATTAGTTAACTTACTTAATTTTCTAGAACAACTGAAGCCTTCCGACTGATCTTAGGGTGAGCCAGCCAGTCCAACAGAGAAAATTTCATCCACTGAATTACAACGTCTTAGAAATGTTATAATATAATTATCGGGTAAGAAATCAGGATTAACATGTCACCTTTAATCAATAATTTAGTTTAATTATCGAGTGGACAGGAATGTTGTCCGTAGCACCAAAAAAAATTATCGGAGGTTTTAAAATAAGTAAGTTTTATAAAAATAGAAAAATGCGGAATAGATTTAATTAAAAAAAGGAACAAATTTATTAAAATGCAATGTTCTAAAATGAACTGAAGCATTAGAGCATCTGTAATGGTTGTCTCTATATTTTATTCTAAAAATAGAAATTTTTAAAAATAGAGAAATGGTTTACTGTAATGGTTGTCTCTATATCTAACTCTGAATATTACTATTAATTGCTTATCAGACCTTCTACTTCTAAAAGTTTTTTTAAAAAATCTATTTATTTTAATTTTAATAATAATTCAATATAATTTCATTTTTAAAATTTTATTTATTATAAAATACTATTACATCACATAAACTGAAAAACTAACAAATAAAACATATTTTAAATATCACCATTAGTATACTTCTCCCACAAATGATCAATTAACGCATTTCAAAGTGAGAAATAAGCTTCTTTGTCTTTGATTTTCTATATCGACAAAGAAATTTTTGAAATCGGATATTTTCATCTGTCGCTATTTCAACTTCTGGAGGTGGAGCTTTTCTTTCAACTTAAATTGGTGCATCCAGATCACGCTCATCATCGATTATCATATTATGTAATATTATACATGTAGTCATTATGTCATGTAGCACATTTTTTTTTTTCCAAAAACAAGCCAGACCTTTCACAATTGGAGAACTCCGAAGGCACGCTCAACATCTTTCCCACATGCTTCTTGTTGTGTAGCAAAATATTTTTTCTTAGGGCCCCTTGGTTCATGAATAGTTTGCATTATAGTTGACCATTTTAGATATATACCATCAGCCAAATAATAACCCATATTATATTATTTTCTTTGTATGACATAATGACAAGGATGAGCAATACCTTGAGCGAGGTTGGAGAAAAGATGAGAAGACTCCAACACATTGATATCATTTATTGGTGCCTGGCATTTCAAAATAGGCATGCCATATTCAAAGATCATAATCTGCTACAGCTTCAAGAATTATAGTTGGTGATCTACTACGTCCCGCATATTGTCCAGCCCATGCGGTAGGACAATTTTTCCACTTCCAGTGCATGCAATCTAAGCTACCAAGCATCCCTGGAAAACTCTGTTTTTCACCAATATAAAGAAGTCTGGCAACATCATTAGCCGTTGGTGATCGTAAATATTTCTCTGAAAAAATATCTAGCTCGAAAAAATCTTTTCATGCTTTCGAGTGTCGTTGATTCGCCAATATTAACATACTTGTCTGTGGCATCCGCTGGCAAGCCATACACTAGCATCTGTAAAACAGATGTTCCTTTCTGAAGGGATGATAATCCAAGTCTACCGGTTGTATCTCTCTTTTGAGTGAAGTAGTTGTCATGATTTTCAACGGCGTTAATAATACGAAGGAAACGAGACATACGATACCTTCTATGAAACATAGCATCATTATACAATGGAGTTTCAGAGAAGTAGTCATTGAACAATCTGTCATGTGCACTTTTCCGATCTCGGTGGATGAAAGTACGTCCTCGAACCGAGCTGTCATGGGCCACATCGTTGCTTTTTTGATTGAGAAAGTATTGGATGATTGCGTTGTTATTAGCGATAGCAAGATGTATTGCTTGTTCTGCATTGTCGAGACTGTTGATTATTTCTATATTGTCATCATCATCTGATCAGATGATGAAGAATAGAAATTTGGGAGATTAAAATTCATTTTGAGAGAAATATTTAGAATGAGTAAGGTAAAAAGTTATGAGATTGTGATGACTAACATGAAGTTGCAGTGATATTTATAGATGATAAATTGATTTTCTATTGTTTTTCTACATTTTTTCTAGCTAATCTAAGAGAATCAGTGGAAAAATGTGTACATGTGGGTTTTCATTTAGTGATATTTTGTATTATTGAAAGAAAATGTTATGAACCCTTCTTTATTATGTGTAGTTGGGTTGATATAAATGTGAGAATTTATTATGATATTCTACTAGTTCCAACTGTGAAAATTAAATGATATTTGTGTAGTTGGATTTTCATCTAAAATATCTAAAAATTAATTTAAAGTTTTTTATATAGTTGGAATGATGAATGTGAGAATTAATTGTGATGTTTTTCTAGTCAAAGTTTGTCTACGTATAGTTGGATTGTCAAGTCCATTTAAAACATGTAAGAAACTAATATAAAGTTATATGTGTAGCTGGATTGATAATTATGAGAGTTTATTGTGATGTAGTTTAAAACGTGAGAATCTTGGAATCACTTCATCAACATCTATAAATAACCTCATGGATTTTTATTTCTATTCACATCATTCCATAAATTTTGATACACATTTTCTTCTTACTTTTTAGCAAAAATATCTCGTTCTGCTGGGTATTCTAAAGAAGAATATAATTTTTTATGTCAAGTGTATATGGAAATTTCTTAAGATCCAATAACTGGTATTTATCAAACCTCTGACCAGTTTTGGGATCGTGTGGTGGAAGCTTTAAGGGAAAAAGCAACTTGGAGTGAACGTACAAAAAAATCTATCCAATGTCGATTTTAAACTATTGAAAGAGCAACAAGAAAACTACATGCATGCATCAAACAATGTGAAAACAGACATCTAAGTGGTGCTTCAAGTGATGATATTGTAAGTATTAATAAATAAATTTTACTTTATTTATTATTATTTGGATATTTATTTATTTTTGTTTAATATTTGTATGTAGTTCAATCAAGCTAAAGAAATGCTAATGGAAGATCCAAAATTCAAAACTGGTTGAAAATTTGATCATGTATGGAATATTATTAAGATTTTGAAAAGTTTAAAGATGGTGTCATTTCTGCTAAAAAATATCAAATCCATGTGGTTTCGGATATACATCTTCAGAGTCTGAAAATTTTACGCCGGACTCTGCTACACAACCATCTGCAAGTTTATATTTATTTTCTGTAAACTTATGTAATGAAGATGACTTTAGTGGCGGATCTCCATCTCAACAATCACCTGGAGTTAAAAAATCTAAATTGAAAAGAAAAAATGATGATCAAGCATCAGCTGTTATCAAGACTTTGGAAAAAGGAAATAGACAACTTGTGGAAGAATTAAAAAAGACAACTGCACAAAGGCAACACCACTTGGAAATTCAAAGTAAGAATTTTGCATTAAAATAACTCAAAGAAGAAAACAAAGTTTTGCCTCAAAACTTAAATTCCATACAAAATCCAAACATTCGTGCATATGTTCAAAGTGAACAAACAAGAATCTTAAAGAAAAAGGTTGATTAACAAGCTCCTTCTATATCTTCTTCATTTGGAGAATATCTTAATAATCTTCATGGATCTGAAAGTGATTTAACAAATTATTAGATTAATAGTTTAATAAATTGTGTTAAGTTTTTTTAGTAATTAATTCAGGTTTTTATTTATAACTCTGTATTTTAAATTTTATTTTTGTTATTTTATTGTATTTTTATTTAATATATTTTGTTGTTGTAATTTAAACTTTTAAATGATTATATAATTAATTATTGCTGATATAGTTTAATTAAATATAATATTATGTGGTATTTTATTGTTTATTTATTATTTATGTGTAAAATACAAAGATATAAAAGTTTAAGGACTGTTTTGTAAATAAAAAAATTATTCTCTATAAATAGAGAAATAAACAGTATATCAATGCAGAATAAGATATAACGTACCAATGTAGATGATTTTACTCTAAAAATAGAGTTTAGAAGCAAAAATAGAGTACCATTGCAGATGCTCTTAAAAAGAATATTATATGCATTAGTGGTTTAGAGTTTGAAGTTCAGTCGTACTCTACCAGATGTTACTTTGATATTAGTATGTTAGGTTGATATCAAAGTAATTTCGAAATAGACCACTGAAAAACTGCAAAAAATTATTCTTAGATACTTGCATAGTAAATTGAATATGTGCTCTTTGGTGCTATGCCATTAGGTTGATATTAAACATGTGCTCATTGGTACTTTGATATCACCCTAACATACAATTATACTCAGATACTTGCATAGCGCACCAAAGAGCACAGCACCAAAGAGCACAGCACCAAAGAACACAAATGCTTATATATACGAAGCTAGTAGCCTCACTGATAACATTAAATTGCCGTTGAATGGAATTATATATTTTAACTCAATCTAGTAAATATCTTGCTGTAAATTAAATGAAAAACATATCACGCAATCTTGAGGAATTCCAGAACTGAGAAACAGAGAGATGTAAGTGGAACTTGTACACTAGAAAATCCAGCACGGCGAGCTAAAATCTCGAATTCTCTCTTTGTTCTTTCTTTCCCTGATGGGTTCATGTTCATCATGAACAACTCAAACTGAATCACGCTTCTGTCTAAGAGTGTATCTCCTGGAAAATCCGGGATTACCATATCGATCACAATCACCTTGCCGTTTGACGGTAACGATTGATAACAGTTGCTTAGTATCTTCACGCAATGTTCATCGTCCCAGCCGTGGAGAATCCACTGTTGTAAATGTAACAAAACGAACAAGAAAAACCCTAATGTTAGCTTTTAAGTATTTTTGTTAAGTCTTTAAAAAAAACTTTAAGAACAAATTAACCTTCATCAAAATGTTTTCTCCTTTAGGAATGCTTGTAAACATGTCGCCAGCAACATTCTCAATGCCTATAACACACACAAAAAAGATATGACATTTCAAATCATTCACAATATAAACAGAATCTTGGCAAGAACTTGCACTATATATACCTGGAGAAGCTGATGAAGCGTTGATAACAGAAGGCAAATCAAAGTTAATAGCTTTGATGATATTAGGATGCATGGAGATTATTTTACGGAGAATCGATCCATCTCCACCACCAACATCAACTAATGACGTCACACCATCAAAACCCATGTACTTATTCATAACTTCTTCCATGAAAACATCATTAAAACCTCTCATGGAGCTTTGGAACACTTCTCTGAATCTTGAATCTCTGCCCACCAATTCGACCGCGCTCGAACCATGAGTCTTGTTGAATGGAATCCCTCCTTCGAGAACTGAATCTTTCAGGTTGTACCTTTTTCACGTTATAAACAAAATCATAATTCAAGATCATCACGTTTCAGACCAAAAAAATTTTGATGTTGTTAATGAACTTTACCAGATATCCATCACGACCTTATCCTGAAACAAATTCACCAACGGAGCCAACGAGCCAGATCTATCTTGGTTCTTGGTGAAGTACTTGGCAACAGGAGCTAAACCATAGACCGCAAGTGGCTCACCGTGGTCAGTGGAAACAGAACATGTGAGTATGGAATAGCTCGTTAGGCATCGAAGAATACGATTGATTAAGCTTGAATCATGATGTTGTTGTGTTTGAGTAGACAAGAGAGACACGATCTGAGAAGCAGAGAGGGAACAAGAAGGGCCAAATTCGGCTAATATGTCGAATAGGCCAAGGTCTATGGCTGTCTTTAGAACCATGGGAAGAACAGAGGAGCTCGATAGGATCATGGCGTACAATGATAGGTTTTCATCTTCCATTTTCCGATTTTCTTGCTTCCTGAGTCTTGACCAAAGCAGAGCTTTTTAAGAGTAATAGCTTTTGACGGAATGCTTCATTTCTTTTGGCCATAATGAAGAGAAAATATATTTTGATCTGACCAATTTAAGCCGACAATTTTGAAGAAAATGAGGTATTGACTATTCTCCCATAAATATAACTCTTCGTAGAAGACATTTTTGTTAGGGAGAGTTTCAGATTTAACCCATATTTCAAAGTCAAACACCAAACTAACCTTTTTTTTTTCTCTCCAACTTTTGCCATTTTCTCACAATTTTATCCTTCTCACTTAAACTATTAACGAAAATGCCATTATACATCTATTATTTCGATTTTTCTTTAATTTGGCTAAAGTCTCCTTGGACCTTCTAAAAACCTTTTTATTACGAGAATGCCATATTCTTCAATTTCTTCAACCACCATGAACAACCATGAAAATGGAATAAATGCTTCTCAACCAATTTTAAAACTGTAATAAGTAAAGATTTGAGCTCATTCACTCATAACCTTCCTCATTCTTTCGTAATTTCTTCTCCAAAACATCTGGGCTAAGTTACAATGCTAAAAGTCATGTATTTTTGGTGATTTCTGGTTACTTAACATTTGGGTTGCTTATTTTTGGTGAAATCCTGAGTTCTGGGTGCTTAAAAGAACCGTAGTCGAGCTCAATTTTGTTAAAGGTAATCGTCACACTTCAATTTCTCCATATTTCAGTTTTCATATCGCGAAAGTAGACTTCTCGTGAAGTATACTGAAGTCTACTAGTCAACATAAGGTTATTTTTGCAATTGACTTTTAAAAGTAGACTTCATTAAACCTCACGAGAAGTCTACTCGATATCCTTTGAAAACGAAAAAAAGCATAGTAGACTTCATTTGAAGGCTTAAGAAGTCTACGAAAGGAAAGAGGTTATTTTTGTAGTTGACCGTATTTTGACTTTTTAATGTAGACTTCTTTCTAAAGTCTACTGTTTACGTCTGCACAAGAAGTCTACTTTTGAGTTACTTTTGTAGTTTGACCAAAAACGTATAGGTCATTTTAGTGTTTGACTAAAGTTTTTTAAAAATTAAAAAATTCATAAAACTCTGGAAAGCTGCAGTAGACTTCAGAAAGAAGTCTAAAAACTGTAGACTTCCCAAAGAAGTCTACTTATATTTTTCGGTCAAACTTAGAAAGAATCTTTTTTTAAGTAGACTTCACAGTGAATTCTACTCAAAAAATTCAATTGCAAAAATAACCTATTTTTTTCGTAGACTTCAAAAGTAGACTGTCAGAGAAGTCTACTCGTACATGAAGTCTACAGTAGAAGTCTACTTTGTTAGTCAATGCATCGGTCAAATGCTAAAGTAACCTTTTTGGCCGGAAGTCTACTTCTGAAGTCTACTGAAGGAAAAGTCAACGAAATGGTCAATTGCAAAAATAACCTGTTTTTTAGTAGACTTCTTTAGTAGACTTCACTATGAAAACGTACGTTTGAAGTCTGCTTTAGAAGTCTACTTATTGTAGTTTTTTTAAAAACGTGTTTTAGGAAAATTTATAAAGTATTTTTTTTATTTTTTGGATTAGAAATGCTTTTTATGAAGTGATTGAACTACCCAGTGAATTTCATTTCATTTCATTCGATATTTATTGTTGAATCAGAAGTTTTGATTTTTAAGCTAGTTAGCTTATTAAAGTAGACTTCTCCAGCAGTCTACGGATGAAGTCTGCACATGAAGTCTGCTCGGTATCATTATTTTAAAAACAAAATTACAGAATATATATAAATTATTTTTTTGTATTTTTAGGTTTTGGAATGTGTGTTACCAACTGGTCTAATTACTCAATGAGTTTCATTTGTTTTAAGTCGATATTTATTGTAGAATCGAATTTGTTGATTTAATAGCTAGTTAGCTTGGAAGAATAGACTTCATCTCCAGTCTACAGATGAAGTCTGCAGACGAAGTCTCCTATATAGAAAATTTGTTACTTACATTTTTGCAATAATGTAGTTTGTAATTTCGTTTGCTAATATGGTTTTTTTGTGTGTTTTATAACAGAAAATGATCAACTCCATAAGATTGTAGAGTCATTTTTAAATTCTCTTGTTAATAACACTAACCTCATTCTTCTGTTTTTTTTTTTCTTTTTTTGGATTTGACATACTTTGTGATTTTAAAACTGATGCAACATTCAGTTACTTCAAAAAATTTGTGACATTGTATAAACATGTAACACCAATCCATTCTTCTTCTATTTTGTGGTTTTAAAACTGGTGCAAAATCAGTCACTTAAAATTTTTATTTAGAATTAGTTTATGGAACTTTTCTTTGCACCATACTCTGAACCATTATATTTTGTTGATTATGTTACATATTTGATAAAGATACATAAAAATAACGGTTGATGACAATTAAAAGACTACTACAGTTGATGATTATTACAATTAATGATCATTACAGACAAAATTGATAATCATTACACAAAAAGAGATCATGAGCAAACAGAAGATCAATTATTTACTTATTGGGTTCTGTTTTGTAAATGAGCTTAATTGTTGTGTTTGGCACTTGGGCCTGTTAGGACAAAACTCCCTACCCGTCTCGATGTCGATGGTGGAGAAAATGGAGATGACGGTGACGAATTTTTGAGATTTGTGAGATACTACAAATGAAAGAAGTCAACTTAAGAAGTCTGCTTTCGAAATCAACTCAAGAAGTCTGCTTTCGGAGATGACAGTGATGAATTGTTGAGATTTGTGAGATACTGCAAATGAAAGGAGTAAAAATTAAACATCAACCCAAGTAACAAATCTAATAAAGAAGAGGAAGAGGAGGTTTCCGAGAAACACATAATCACAGATCTGATTACTAAACTAAATCAAATTAGTTCTGACACTCAGATCTTAGTACATTATGAATAAAAAAAAATTCAAAGTGGATCCCAATTAAATAAAACCAAAATTTCTGGACAAACAAAACATCAGCTAATAAGTAAAAAGAAAAAACTAGAAAAAGCTAACAATATGAACCAGACATCAAAGCCATACCCAGACAAAGCTGCACGGCGGTGAGGAAGTCGACAGTGGACCTCTTTTGTTGCTCACTATGTTGAGGTCACCTACAGTGAAGATCAAACAAACGTTTTCCTAAAAACAAAAAGCAGAGTATAATCTAAAGAGAGATTTCTAACCTGAAACAGCATAGAAAAAGACCTCGTGTACAGCTCGTTCGCAAGCAGATCTAAAAAAATCGATGTTCTCGTTGAATCTGAAACAGAGGGGAAGCGCCGTTTTAGAGAGAGAGGTTTGAGTTTTCATTTTTACAAAATTAGGGTTACAAACGTAGGCTTCATTTATATAGGGAGGTACAAATTTTGGTTAAATGAATAATTTTTGGTTCAGAATTGTTGGTTCAATTTTGGTTTATGTATTGGTTAAATAATTATTTTTGATTTTTTTGGTTAAGATAAATATTTATTCGGTTTTGTTTAGTTTCTCTTGGTTAATGGAAGTTATTCCCGGTTTAATTTCGGTTTAAATTTCGATTAGATTAATTTATTCGGTTAAGTAGACTTCAATATAGAAGTCTACAACTTTTAAAACTTAAATAATAAATTTACTTCTACTTAATTTAAAAACATACATTTCCATTTACCAATATGAAAAAATAATTTCTGTACATTTGGGTTAGATTACGAAATTTATGAATGTAAATTTGATACCAAAATAATTTTTAAAAATTTTAAAATTAAATTTACAGATTTAGTTATTTAGTAGACTTCATTTCGATAAAATGAAGTCTACTATTAGACTTCTTTTTCACTTTAGTAGACTTCGTCAGGGTGTAAACGGTAATTAGGACATCCGTTTTTTGTTTACTCATACAGGTTTAAATAGTCTTTTCACTACCCCTTTAGGTTATTTCTGCTAAATGTTTTTTCAGGGGTCTACTTTTGTATTCAAAGTCAATTTTTGGGTTATTTTTAGCAAAAACCCCTTTTTTTATTATCAGAGTCAAGAAAAATACTCTATGTATAATTCAACATTTTTTTATTTGTTTGTAAAAAGTGCATTAAATTATTTTATTTATTTTAATATATATATAAACGCATTAAATTTATAAATTATGATGTATCTTGTTACGATACATGCATAGTAACTTTTACTTTTCATTTCTATATAGACGAACGTAATATTTTGTCGTGATACACAATTTTTTCAAAATTATAAGAACAAATTCTCTCTCCTTTCTTATCAGTATCCCTCTTCTCTCTACGGATATAAAATTATTTATATTTATGTTTATGATAAATTACACCTACTATTATATAAGTTTATAACAGTTGTAGATTTTTCTTTTTTTTTTAGTCAAACTATTATTGAATACTATATACCAAATATATATCTGCCCGCATCGTTGTGGTCCAGTGGTAGGGAAAGGTTGTGTAAGGTGTTACATCATTTCATCCAGGTTCGATCCTCCCTGGAAACAAAAACATAATTATGTGGGAAGTCTGGGTTTGGGCCAAAAGTCCAAGCAATTTACCTGGTAGTCCAGTAACAGACAATCTAGCTACCCCTAACATTAGTCAGAAGGCATTTCAAACTCGGAACAGGTAGTGTGATGGTCCATTTAGATCTCATGGATCTTATGGATCTTATGGCTTGTTGACTCGAGTTCGTTCGAAGCTCATGGTGTCCGTTGAACCATTGAACCAAGAAGAAGTTCACACTATAGCATTTCGGTGCATTCCACCGGAATCGACCGGATCAGCCGATAGGATTTATAAAAAAAATATATATAGAAACTTTTGTTTCTTGGGTTTTGTTTCTGTTATTGACTGTTTAAGTGAAGGAGACGGTGGAAATAAGGTTTCCAAAGCAAAGTAGAAGTGAGAAGAAAAGTCCAAGATCCGATAAGTTTGATGACATAGTTATGACTCATAACTTATGAGTCTTATGATAAGAGTAACAAAAATTTGTTTATACATCCGACAATCCAAGATCAGGACAACATATCAAAGAGAACATTACAATCTTCAGTAACCAAAAGGCTCCACGTCCAAAAAGTACCCATGTTCTGACAAGAGAAAGACAAGAGTTTGATCAGTAAGGATTATGCAAGTAAAGTAAGCACTGATATTACAATAAACTTTTTCTCTTGAGTCAACATGACCTGATATGACCATAAATAAATGAAAAGGGAGCTGGTAAAAAGAGAGCACCAACTTCATCCTGGTCACATGTCAGCCACTTCTAAGGAATAGATTCGTATACCTCATAGTCTCCTTTCAGAAATTGGAGATCTTGAGGCTATTCTTTGAAATTTACATGGCGACCTGCAAAAATCGAAAGCAATCTGACATGTAAATGCCCTTTCAAACTTCACTCTGAACTTGAATATCAAAGATGATTTGATGTCACCTTTCTTATATCCTCAAGAATTTGGATTCGAAAGAGAAGTCTCGTATACCATCAAACACCTGTCTGCTTCAGCCTTCAGCCATAAGCTTTTATAGAACAGTGCATGCTGGTTAATCTGCTCCTCTGCTTGATGATTCTGTTGGTAACCACTCTTAGCCACAACCTGCATGTTATCAAACCCAAAGGTCTACCTCCAGATAAACACCAAAATCACATCTCACATATGCAAAAAAAATCCATACCTGACCAAAGCTGTTATCTTTGGTCACACCATATTGATACAAACGAGAATCTGGGACCGTCTCCCCTGAGACCACAGAGTATTTCTCCTTCCTTTTAACATCAAGGTCGACAGTCATATCGTTTGCCCTTGGAAGCTGAAGGTCTCTAATCGATAGCTAATAGAGAAGATTTGGAATCATGGTGACCCATTAACACAATATCATTTTCTGTGAATTTGACAAGAGATGATGCTACATTTCCTATGTTCTATGCAAATGTAATGTGCTTTCCTTGTGGCTTAAGCTACCAAAATATATACATAAGAACTAGGAAGAACACCATACCTTGCTCTTGTTTGGTAAAAGCTTTAGATCATACGAATTGCGTCGTGCAACGCTTTGATTCCCAGCCAGTTCCTGAGTGCTATTTTTGATGTATATGTTGAGATTCTGTACAGTACTGTTAATGAGATCAACCTCAACCGCATCAGGAGATTCTGAACCATGTGCAACTGTTAGTATCTCTGACAGTCCATGCATCGTTGTAAGTAGTTTCTTCACATCCATTTTTGGAGATGGGCCAGATAAAGCTTTCACATCGCTTGAAGATGAACTGGCTGCAGTTTCTACGACATGGAATGGAAGAGGATGCTGAAAATCTTGATTACCATGTACTGAAAGTGTAGTGTTTGGCTCCACCGCAAACCACTTAGTAGACCCAAAGTTACTGTCCGTCTTTGGAGATATCAGTGACGAACTTCCACGAGACATGTTGGGAAGGAGATGTTCCACATATACTGAGGATTGTGCTAAGTCTGCATCTATTACATTATGCTCCGTATAACCAGTACTCACCACCAGCGATAAATCATCTGCAGCTTGGTAATTCTCATAGAAATATGCTTTTGGTTTAGTATCCGAGAGAGAGAATTGAGGGGCCAATGGATTCAATCTCCGCCGACCAGAAGACTTGTTGCTGGAGGTTCCTAGTTTTGCATTCTCAGTGATCCCAACTTCAGATTCAATCCAAGGAGTGTATGAACCTAATTCCTGAACGCCATACCGACTCTTAAAACTGTGGCCAACCTCACCAGAAGAGGCCACTACATTGACCGTATTTAGCGACTTATCTGAAGAAGCTAGAGCAGAAGCTGAATGTGCATTTGTCTCGAAATCTCCTTGCTTCTCATGGGCAGAAGAAGGACTTAGTTTTGCACTAGAGGGAACAAAAACAGGGGCCAAAGGATCCAACTTTTTAGCTGGCTGGTATTCATTTTTAGAATTCGACATGCTCACGGTCTTGGAAATGCTGTCTCGAGATACAAAAAAACCCAAACTTTCATCTGCAGTGTTGTCCAAGTTGCTAGTACTTACTGCATCTTTACTTTCATCTTCAGGAGGATCGGTTAAGTTGAATTCTGCCGACGATGATGGAAAATTCGAAGACAGAGACTTCTTCAAAGACGAAGAAGAACCGTTCTCTTCACATCTTTTCCCATCCGTGTCAAGATTCTTCTTAGAGTTAGACGGTACAAACTGAGGTGCCAGGGGATTCAATCTACGAAATCCACTAAGATCATCAGTAGAACGCCTTGAAGTCACAGATTTAGCACCTGAAGCCAAAGTCTTGCGAGAATTTATTCCAATCCAGCAAGGAGAATCTTCCTCAGAGTCATCTTGGTCAGTTTCTGTACAAGATTTCTCAGACATGACAGTTGTGTCGGCACAAGACAGATCCATCTTGTCATCATCACCAGCAACATCAGAGGACTTAATCAGCAGCTCAGGCAATTTCGACAAAAGTGAATTAGAGTTTCCCTCTAAAAGCTGTCCTGCAAAATTCACAAGTGTCACAAAAAGAAAACACACAAAAAAAATTACCTCTTTACACCAAAAAATCTATGTTCCCAATTATCCGCTTATCTAAATTCAAACCATGACATTAAAGAGAAAAATCTCACCTTTGGTCGCCTCAACATCGCGAGACAAGTTAGATAGAGAATCATCATCATCGAGGCAACTTCTCTGGTCATCAGAGGACAAGAAGGATAGGTCTAGATTATAATCAAACCAGATAGAATCATCGTGTTCAGATTTGGAAGCAGTGAGAGAAAAGGTAGAAGAAGGAGATGAATCGATGGCGAAGGGTCGAGCTGAAGGCGAAAGGCCGCTTCGTAAACCATCGATTCCGTGACTACACTGATTCATCTATGGCGGAGGAAGGAAAGTATGAATCTTGTTGAAGAAGAAGAAGAAGAAGAAGAAGAAGGGAAGGGATTTCTAAAGAAGGCTTTTTCACCTTCCCCTCACCTTCGAAAAGACGAAGCTTTTTTCCTTCAGGTCAAGAGACAACACGTCGTTCTCTGTTTACTCGTCAATTAGGATGAGGACGAAACTTTCAGGGTTTGACATTTCACACCCTTATATTTTTCTCATATTTTAATTTGTGTCGATATATTCTTCTTCTCTTCTGAATTTATCACTAGCATATTTTAATGTCTGAAATAAACAGAAACACCTATGTAAAGAAATTAAGTTTTTCTCTCTCTATTGAGAGTTTTTTTCTTCTCTCTCTTCTCTGATCCATATCCTTCAGAGATAGCACTTTTTCTCTCAAATTTTGATGTAAATTCCGATCATTTGATCGGTTTTCTTTTCCGTTTTCTTAGGATAATAAAACATAGATCGGATTTTGTTTTCCGGCTAAGTCCGGATTTGCCTTTTCTGATCTCTCTCTTTTTGGCTATTTTATCTTATCGTCGGATTATCCGTTTTTCTTTTTAATTTGTTTCAGGTTTTATTCTCTCTTGGAGTAATTTCTTCGCTGAACCCTCTTGCTTGTCACTCGAAGCAACGATGGACACTACTCAGACCAATAAATTGGGTCTGGCGACGGTGGAGCTTCCTCGGAGGTTGAGATCTGGAAGAAGTTTTTGAAGCGCTCATCAATTTTATTGCGGATTCTCTTTTCCGACAATTCTTATCCAAAAAGTGAAGATCGGCAAAAGGTTAACATCGAGGTAAGAATCTCTTGCTGTAGAAGCTGGAATCACTGGTGGTGACACTACAAGAATGAGGGGCTTTTCCGTCGAATTATTTACGACGATTTTTAGTCGTCGTAAATTTACGACAACATTACGTCGTATTTACGACGATCAAAAATTTCGTCGTAAATTCGACGTAAAAAATGACCCTCGTAAAATCGTTGTAACGTTACGACGATATTACGACGAATGAAGAACGAATTTTATTTCGTCGTAATGTTGTCGTAATATTTACGTCGATAATACGACTAATTGTCCTCTATCTCGTAATTGACGTAAAATCAATGTAAATGTGATGTAAGTTTTATTTCGACGTAAATTTGATGTAAATATGCAATGGTAATATGTTGGTAACAAAACAAAAAATTCTATATATACCCTTTCTTCTCTCATTATTCCATCAACCCAAAAAAACATATAAAGACACAAATTTTTTGAGTCTTTGAATGTTTAAGTAAAATTTTTAGTAGTTGAAATTTATATCAAATTTCAGAAACAAAAAGTCAAATATTTGTTTTTGAAATGTCTATATACGATCTACGAAAGTGGATGTATACGCCCAAAAATGGTGATGGGTCGTTGACTGAAGACTTCAAAAACGGATTGGAAATATTCATGTACCAAGCCGGCCTTATGCAAACTGTAATTGAAAGCGGCAAAATGTATTGTCCTTGTGTGAAATGCAAAAATAGGAAACATATTCCTATTGACACTGTCTGGCAGCATTTATTGAATAGAGGGTTCATGCCCCAATACTTTATTTGGTATCAGCATGGAGAGGGATATGGTCAAAGTAGTGGTCAGATGGCTGCACGGAGTAGTAGTAATCATCAAGAACATGTGGATTTTGAAGCGTCCAATGATTATCAAAGTAGTCAAGTTCAGGGTGAAGATCATGATAGGATGCATGAAATGGTTACTGATGCATTTCATGAAACACATGCTGATACTGTTGAGGAGCCCAATGCAGATGCGAAACGCTTTTATAATATGTTAAACGCAGCAAAACAGCCTCTGTACGAGGGATGTAGGGAAGGTTTATCAAAATTATCATTGGCAGCTCGGATGATGACAATAAAAACTGATCACAATCTATCTGAAGTTTGCATGAACGATTGGGCAGATCTTATTAAAAAGTATTTGCCAGATGATAATTTGGCTGCTGAAACGTATTATGAAATTCAGAAGCTGGTTTTTAGTCTTGGATTGCCTTCTGAGATGATTGATGTTTGTGTTGATAATTGTATGCTTTTTTGGAGAGATGATGAGAAGCTTGAAGAATGTCGTTTCTGCCAAAAGCCAAGATATAGACCGCAAATTGCTGGACGTAAGAAGATTCCTTACCAACGAATGTGGTATCTTCCTATCACTGATAGGTTAAAAAGACTATATCAATCTGAACGGACAGCTGCGTCGATGAGATGGCATGCGGAACATTCACAAACAGATGGCAAAATGACTCACCCGTCTGACGGGAAATCTTGGAAACATTTTAACACCGTACATCCAGACTTTGCTAGGTCTAAGCGAAATGTTTATCTTGGTCTTTGCACTGACGGGTTTAGTCCATTTGGTATGTCTGGTAGGCAATATTCATTATGGCCTGTGATTTTTACGCCATATAACCTTCCTCCAGATATGTGCATGCAAAGAGAGTTTTTGTTTCTAAGTATATTAGTCCCTGGTCCAAATCACCCGAAGCGGGCCCTTGATGTGTTTTTGCAACCACTCATACATGAGTTAAACCAGTTGTGGCATGTTGGAGTACGAACATATGACTGTTCGAGTGGTAAAAATTTTACGATGCGAGCGGTGCTTATGTGGACAATAAGCGATTTCCCGGCATACGGAATGCTATCAGGTTGGACAACGCATGGGAGGTTATCATGTCCTTATTGTCTTCATAGGACTGATGCATTTCAGCTTAAACATGGTAGGAAAACCTGTTGGTTTGATTGCCACTGTCGGTTTTTACCACCAAACCATCAATATAGAAGAAATAGGCGTTTGTTTATAAAGAACAAATTGGTTCGTCTCCCTCCACCAGTGTACCTAACTGGAGTAGAGCTTGAAGCGCAAATAGATCATTGGGGTGGACTTGAAACAGTCCCCCTTGGAGGAAATTGGCACACTCCTGCGAATATGCCTGAAGGATATGGGGTTCATCACAATTGGCACAAGAAAAGTATATTTTGGGATCTGCCTTACTGGAAAGATCATTTGCTTATACATAATCTTGATGTTATGCACATTGAGAAGAATTTTTTCGATAACATCATGCATACTGTTTTGAACGTCCAAGGAAGAACCAAAGACAGCGTTAAATCACGGATGGACTTACCCGATATATGTAACAGAATTGAGTTGCATATGGTGAGTAATGGGAAAGCACCTGTTCCTGTATTTCGGTTGGGTGCTGAACAAAAAACAGCATTGTTTAATTGGGTATCATCAGCCGTGAAATTTCCTGATGGATATGTATCTAATCTGGCTAAATCTGTGGATAAGGGACAAAAGTTTTCATGGATGAAAAGTCATGATTGTCATGTGTTTATGCAACGGTTACTTCCTTTTGCGTTTGCTGAACTCCTACCGGGACATGTCCATGAGGCACTAGGAGGCATTGGAGCTTTCTTTCGTGATCTAAGTACAAGGACATTATCAGAAGATGTAGTTGCACAACTGTCTACAAATATTCCAATATTGTTGTGCAATTTAGAGAAAATATTCCCACCTGCTTTCTTCGATGTTATGGAACATTTACCTATACACCTCCCTCATGAAGCAGAGTTGGGAGGACCTGTTCAGTTTAGGTGGATATATCCGTTTGAACGATTTATGAAGCATTTAAAGGGTAAGGCCAAAAACTTAGCAAAAGTTGAAGGGTCTATCGTGGCGGGAAGTTTGACAGAAGAAACTTCTCATTTCACGTCTTATTATTTTGCTCCGAAGGTTCGTACACGCAAACGGGCTCCAAGACGTTACGACGATGGGGGTGTAGGACAAAGTTACGCAGTAGAAGGTATGTCTGATATATTCTCACCAATTGGACGTCTAAGTGGGAAACTAAAAGAAACTTGTTGGTCAAACGAACAAGACTACCACAGCGCACATACATATATACTTCTGAATTGCGAGGAATTTGCACCTTACGAGAGGTACATAATTATAACCATGCATGATTAAAATTTGATTGAACAGACGAAATGTCCTTAACAATGTTTTAAAATTTCAGCACTTTCGTCAGTCAAGTCCGAGAATGCATTGACGGTGTTTCAGAAGATGAAATTAACAAGCGGAAAGACCAACATTATGCATTGTGGTTAAAAGGTCAAGTTGAGCATGATGACATGACATATGCAGTATGGTTTCATGAGTTGCTCCTAGGTCCTATTTCGAAGATAACTACTGCAGCTATGTATTTCACACGTGGCTATGTTTTTCATACTTATAGTCATGGCACTCAACGGGCATACACAAACTATGGAGTTTGTGTACGAGGTGAAGTAGACTTTTATGCGATCATCAAAGAGATAATTGAAGTGGAATACCCCGGATTAGTCAGAATGAAAACTGTTCTATTCAAATGTGATTGGTTTGATCCTACGGTAGGTCATGGAGTGCGAATTAACAAATTCGGAGTGGTAGATGTAAACGCATCTCGGCGATACAATAAGTTCGAGCCTTTTATACTTGCATCTCAAGCAGAACAAGTCACCTTTGTTCCATATCCTCGAGTTTGGAATACGGGAATTTCATGGCTGGCGGTTGTCAAAGTTGCTCCAAGGGGTATAATTGATGGTGTAGATCTCCCGCCAATGCAACAAGATGATTGTGTGGACATTACAGAACCGGATGTTGAAGAAAATGTTCTTTTAATTGATCCACGTAATCGACAAGTTGAAGATCTACATGGGGACGAAACTGAAGAAGGTGTTGACGAATTTCAAACAAGCAGTATGATGATGACAATGATGATGAGGACACCGAGGAAAATGTTGATGAAGACTAATTAAATATGTTGACATTTAATTGCATGCTTTGAACGTTTCAATGTAACATTTGTCAAATTTAAATTTTTGAAAAATTAAAGCCAATTAATGAATACTAATTAAATGTTGATGAAAATTTGTTAAAGTGTTGACTTGGACATATGTTGACTTTTACGACGAATTTACGACGATTATTTGGAATTCGTCGTAAATTCGTCGTAAAATGCAAACCCTAAACCCTATAGAGTTTAGCTTTCCCAACTTACAGGATGGATTTTGGGTTTATTTTCCTAAGTAAA